CTTACATTCTCAACTCAACCCACCCCAACCGAATACAACCCAACCCATCCCATCCCTTACATTCTCAACTCAGCCCAATCCAACCCAACCCAACCCAACCCATACCATCCCTTACATTCTCAACTCAACCCACCCCAACCGAATACAACCCAACCCAACCCGACCCAACCCAATACAACCCAACCCAATACAACCCAACCCAATACAACCCAACCCAACCCAATACAACTCAATCCAACCCAATACAATCCAATACAACCCAACCCAATACAATCCAATACAACCCAACCCATCCCAACCCATACAATCCCTTACATTCTCAACGCAACGCAACCCAACCCAATCCAACCCAACCCATCCCAACCCATCCCATCCCTTACATTCTCAACTCAACGCAACCCAACCCAACCTATACCATCCCTTACATTCTCAACTCAACCCAACCCATACCATCCCTTACATTTTCAACTCAACCCAACCCATACCATCCCTTACATTCTCAACTCAACCCAACCCATACCATACCCTTCTTGAAATCATTCTTCACTTGAGGTGCAGTCAAATTTGAATTTCCAGGAAAGCGGAATTTACAATGCCCTCCTAGCAGCTACTTTTGATTTGGTCTATGTCAATACAAGCCGGGTTGGTCGGGAATCGCATGTTCAAACCAGCCTTCTAGGCCGACTGTTCTCAATGGTCTGATATGTGGTCTTCGTGCGGGTGCAGATAATGATTGTGAGCATGTGAATCCAGAGAGCGGAATATGTTAATCTGACTATACTTACAATGTGTGGCTTATTGGCAAGACAAACACCGGTGTGATAAAGTTTTGCTCAAAACTAGCTTGCTGCGAGAATAATTTGCTTCACACAGTGTGCAAAAGCTCAGAAATAGGAGTTGATATAATACTCTGAGAGCTTTTCAGTGTCATCGTGCCATTCTAAATTTTATTAGTTGTATTTGTTAGTATGGGGTAGCGCCTTCCGATTAGAAAGATTAGGAATACGAAAATCTTCAAATTTTTAGCTTTGGATAGAATGTTACAACTATGTTCACAGACAATTCATAAACGTCTTGGTTTCTATTCGAGATACGGCCAAAAGTTAGTGAGCGCTAGTTCTTATTTTCTGTACTTCTTGCTCATGTATTCTTGAACAACGGGATAGATGTTTGCCTTGGTGCTTGCTTTGCTGCTCTGTGAATTTTTGAAATATTCGCGAATTTGTGTCGAGCTCACGTCCACTAGTTGACTACGTTCCTTTGATAATGGAATGTAAATGACACGCGACGATTTGGCGGAACGACTAATTTGCTTTTCATCGCATCCAACACGGTAAACAACAGCGCAAGTCATGTTCGGCTGCTTTGCCATGTTTTCAACATAGGAACACTTGTTGAAATGATCTAATCCGCAGACATAGACAACGCATAGCGGATTTCGGAGAATTTGTTCTTTGTCAACAAGTTTATCATTAAGAAAATCGCGTAGCTTCTCAGTGACAGGACCGAAATCTTCAAATCCATCTGACCATTCGCTTTCACCTCGTGAAACGCGAACCCAAGATGAAAGTTCCTCCCCTTCGTACTGAATAGCTGCTTCACAAAGTCGACATCGGTCTTTTGCCGGAATCCAATCACGATCACCCAATTTTTCATGAACATACGAATCACTTAAATGAACAGTCAATAGTACGTGTATCGAAAATAAAACAAATTATTTAGAACATACTGCGTTGGTGACAGATATCCAGCGAGGACGTTCCACGGAGTCTCAAGCTCGCGTTCAAGGTATTGCTTCACGCGCATGAGGTTTTGAAAATGTAGCGGATGAACAGGATTGAACGAGCCAGTGGTTAGCAAGACACAACTACGCCAAAACAATAAGCAGTGAGCAACGAATGGAGGATAGTAGCTGTAAGAGTTAGAAATGCCTGTTCAAACCTTTCCTACGGATAACAATATGCCGAAATTTTCACATATGAATATAACGAGAAAAGTTGCTAATAGCCAAGCGTATGATCTAATCGCTCGTTGGGCTCGGGCGTATATGTTTCAGAACTAATATCCATTTCAAAATAGAATGAACGGTCAGTGTATGTCAAATATCTCTGGAACGGTAGCAGCTACAGATCTACGACTTTTTTCATCCGGTAGCTACACATGGGACAAGTAAATGCATACCGAAGAAAAAAATTTTAATCGGGTTTTCAGAGGTTTTTAACCTAAGTGTCAAATTTGATGATTTCGTTCAATTGAACACCAAGTCTTCAATTGACCTCGTTAGCCACGAGCAACTTCAACTATTCGACTTGAACATTTGAAGACTTCAACTGTTCAAGTGTTCTAACGAGTGTTCCAGAAATAATGGTGTAGTTTTTATTTTCAACCTATCTCCTTTCTCTTGATAGTCATTTCAGGGTGTTGGTGTGGGTGTATAGAAAAGGCACATACCCACACCCA